AATTTTTCTTTGTGAATGCTGCTTGGAACACTTATTTTGTTATACTTTCCTATGGTTTATCAAGAGAATGTACCTCAACATAGCCCTACTAAACATCAAATTATCAGAATATATTTGTTCCAGATATGCTTGGACTTGAAGACTGTTAGGATTGAAGGCCAAAAGGTTGTTATGTAGTTATTATGGCATGGTATTATTAAAAAGTACTGTTAAAGGAAAGATTACTTAAACTATGCTGCCCCATTTGGTTCTTAAGTGATCATTCTCTGATTGCTTCCATTTTCATAGCATTGCCTGTTCATTAGTTTGCATTGCTGGATATTGTAGTCCTTTTATGTGTGTGGGTGAGAAATTGGTCAATAATGAAATAATTCTTGTCATATCAGGTGTACAATCCGGCCACAGGTGATGTTATAGCAGAAGTCCCATGCATGAGCAAGAGAGAGACAAATGATGCAATATGTTCAGCATATGACACATTTAGTTGTATGTATCTAAATACAACCTGCATCCAGATTTTTTTACTTTGCCAAAGAATTTCTATTCATATTCAGGAAACTTGGTTGGAATATCCTACTGAGTTTCTTAATTTCATGGAGGAATGAATTTGCATAATTTTAATAGAGTGTTCACATGGATTGATAATCCATGCAGAATTGCAGGCTTCCAACTTTATATAACTAGTATGATTAGTTGTTGTACTTTTTTTGTGAATCCCTATCCATGAAAAATATAGATATATCTAATTTATATATGTTATCTTTTTTCCTATGTAGCATGGAGCAAACTAACTGCAAATGAAAGGAGCAGATGCCTACGGAAATGGTATATTGAAATTTTATCACCTTGGACATTTTCTAGTACTTCATTAGTCAGTATATCTGGTAAACTCATGGAAATCCTAACAGCATACTGTGTATCATTTTGTTCAGATTTGTTTAGACATTTTTGTTTAGATTTTGCCATTATCATCCCATTTTCTCATGCCTGTGCTCAAGGTTTTACTATGGCACTAAGAGATGGCCTCTATATTGATTTTATACATATTATTAAAAAATGAGACAATGGTAGTGTTGAAATGTCATTATTCTGTATGTTTAGTACCACAGGGGTACTTTGGTACTTTCTGCCTTTTTTATTTTTAAGTTGTGTTTCCCTAGTATAAATGATAAAAAGCTGGCGCCGCCAGCACCTTTTTTGAGACTCCAAATCTCTGTCTCTCTTCTCTCCTCTCTTCCTTTCTTCCTTCTTCTCTGGATAACATGGTATCAGAGCAGGACTGTTAGATCTGAAAGAAGAGGTCGAGCAAACCTTTTCTATCTTCTCCCTTTGCCAGATCCAGGTCCAAATTCAGATCGGACTGAAGTATTCTCTCTCCTTTTCTCTTTTTTTTTTATTTTTTTATTTTTCTGGTCGTGTGCCAAAACAGAACCTGTAATAGGTTCAGTCTATTAATGTGAGGCGAGCAACCCCTCTTCTTTCCTTTTTTGTGGGATCGGTTGATCCTTGTAATAGACTGTAGGTCGGTGATGACCTTTATATGCTGCGACAGCAGCCTTCTGGTGAACTTGTAGGTCAGGGGATGACCTGTATATGCTGCAACAGCAGCCACACTTGATTTGTAGGTTAAGAGAGGACCTGTATATGCTGCTACAGTAGCCATACCTGATTTATGGTGGGCTAGTGATGACCTGTGAGTTTAGTAATAGCAGCTGTTTTTTGTTGAGGAACTGATATTTAAAAGAGGGGGGTGGTTGTCTCTATTCCCTAGTGCAATTTTTTTTATTGGGGTGTTTGGCTGCTTCTATTTGGTCCTTGTGTTTATTCGGAGTGTAACCTGAAGTTGTGATTATGAGTGGTGAAGACTCTGCCACATCTGGAGTCCCCTCAATGTAGAACGGAACAAGTGGGGGTATAGATTTATCCTTCCCTATGGCTGTTATACCCCTAGATGGTTTGAGTTATTTAGAATGGTCGAGGGTGATCAAGTTATACATTACTGCAAGGGGAAAAATAGGGTATATAAATGGGAGAATTAAAGAACTAAATTCTGGGAGTGCTGAGTATGACAGATGGAACCAGGAAAATAGCATGGTTATGTCCTGGCTTTTGGTGTTTATGCAACCTCAAGTGAGAAGGAACTTTATGTGGGCTGAAACGGCTTATGAGATTTGGGAGCAGGCAAAATTGACTTATTTTGAACTGTGTCACTATGCAAAAATCTATCAGTTACAGGCAGAACCATCCACTTGTAAACACGGGGAGAGGAACCTTTCTATGTACTATTCAGATTTGACCTTTGTCTGGAAGGAGTTAGATCACTATCAGAGTGTAGATTGGAAGTGTGATGAAGATGCAAAAGCATACAAGAAGCTTGTTTCCCAACAAAGAGTGTTTGCATTTCTCCTTGGTTTGAATCCAGTATATGAATCTGTCAGAGTCTAAATCCTAGGCAGTAAGGATCTTCCATCTGTCTAGGAGGTTTATGCATTAGTACAATCGGAAGAAAGTAGAAGAAATTTATTGAACAGCTTCGGAGGGGATGCAGTTGTGTTGGCAGCAAAAGGGAATGTTACTATAGGTGGGGGAAATTTTTTTAAGAAGGGGGACCCTCAAAAAAGGGTGGAAGACAAAGACAAACTATGGTGCACCCATTGCCAGAAACCCCGACACACCTGAGAAACATGTTGGGATCTTCATGGGAAGCCCAAATGGGCCCAGGAGTTAAGCAAGAAGCAAGGTTCAGTCCTGAACGAGAAGTCATGACAACAAGGTCTAAGAAAGTTCACCACAACAAATATGGCTTCTCAAGAGAATCAACCCCCTACTATTGCTATGACTTAGACACACACTTCTAGTTTTGACTCGAGGGAGGATATTATCAATTCCTTCTGTGACCATTTGGAACTCTTTGGTAGGGCAATTCATCAGATGGATTCTTCACCTCGTTCAACTTCATTTGCGACTACATCAGGTAACTTTGCCACGGCTTTCCATGTATCGCGTCTCATCCCCTTGACTCTCCTTGGATAATTGATTCTGGAGCGTCAAAACATATGACTGGTAAGTCTACTTATTTCCAAACCTACCACCTCCTCTCTAGAATAGACAAGGTGAGGCTAGCTGATGGTGCATATTCTACCATAGCTGGTCAAGGAACCATTTCTCTTCCCTTTGGCCTCACCCTGACTAATATCTTACATGTTCAAAAATTCCCCATTAATTTGTTCTTTGTTTGTAGTATCACTAATTCTTTAAACTGCTTAGTAACCTTTTTCCCTTCTTATTGTGTACTCCAGAATTTGGCATCGGGGAAGACGATTGGTAGAGGACGTATGGTGGATGGACTCTATATGCTAGAGAATAAGGCTGGTCTTACAGTCACAGAATCTAAGAGTCAATCTAGTACAAGTCAAGTCTATTTATGGCGCAGTCGTCTCAGTCATTTGCCTTTTGAGTCTTTTAAAATTGGTGTTTCCAGAGTTGTTTAAGTCAGTGTCAGTGTCACAGTTTACATGTTAAACTTGTCAATTTAGTAAGCATTGTAGAACTCATTTTTCTTCAATGAATAATAAATCTGAATTTCCTTTCCATATTATTCATTATGATGTTTGGGGCCCTATTACTTTATCATCTGAGAGTGGCTACAAATATTTTATTACCTTTATTGATGATTACTCTAGATACACATGGATATATCCCATGCGAACCGGGGATGAAGTACCAAAAAGTATCCAAGATTTCCACCAAATGATCTTCACCCAATTTCAAACTGAGGTCCAAATTTTCCAATCTGATAATGCAAAAGAATATTTTCATAATGACCTCACGGAATTCTTTGCTTCGCATGGATCACTTCACCGTAACTCCTGTACCCGAACACCACAACAAAATGGTGTTGTTGAAAGAAAGAACCAACACCTTCTTGAAGTGGCCAGGGGTTACTCATCCATATGAATGTCCCAAAATGTTTTTGGATTAAGGCGGTCCTTTGTGCTACCTATTTCATTAATCATATGCCCTCTCGCTGGTTAGAGTGCAAAGCCCCACATTAGCTTATTTTTCCCAAGGTTCCTCTTCTTTCTATTCCTCCTCGTGTGTTTGGTTGTCGTTGCTTTGTTCAAAATTTGGCTCCCACTCATGGAAAATTGGATCCTCGTGTTATTCCTTGCATCTTCTTGGGGTACTCCCTCACTCAAAAGGGGTACTAATGCTTTGATCCCGCCTCCTGGAGATATTATGTTTCTATGGATGTCTCTTTCTTTGAGAGTGAGCCTTTCTTCCCTGTTTCTCCTTAGGGGGAGTGTAGAAATGAGGAGAAACTACTTTAGCTGCCTCTATTCCTAATCCTCCTCCCTTTTGTGTTTTCTTTCGACGTCACAAAGGCCAGCCAAGTTCAAGAGCTGTGGAGCATCCAGAAGCTGTACCACCAATACCATCGAACTCTCCGGGGTTGGATCCTTCCCAACCAAGTACTTTGGTTCCCATTGATGTTCTTGACTTATTGCCATTGATACCTCTATTGCTGATGACCTTAACCTTCTTATTGCTTACCGGAAAGGTGTTAGGTCTTGCACCACTAAACACCCCATGTCCTATTTTGTTTCCTATGAGAACATTTCACCTTCCTTTAGGGCCTTTCTCTCTTCCATCGACAATGTTCCTATTCCTAAGAATGTGGCAAAAGCTCTTTTGATACCTGAATGGACAGATGCTATGAAGGAAGAGATTAATGCTTTACATAAAAGTGGTACATGGGAACTTGTAGATCTTCCTAAAGGGAAGGAACCAGTTGGATGTAAATGGGTTTTCACAGTAAAACATAGGGTTGATGGCACAGTGGAGCGGTATAAAGCTCATCTAGTAGCAAAGGGGTTTACACAAGTGTATGGAGTGGATTATGCAAAAACTTTTGCACCCGTTGCTAAGATGAACTCCATTAGAGTTCTTTTCTCCTTAGCTGCTAATCTTGACTAGGAACTTCATCAACTTGACATCAATAATGCATTCTTAAATGGTGACCTTGAAGAGGAAGTATACATGGTGCAACCCTTTGGTTTACGGGCTCAAGGTAATGAATAGAAAGTGTGCGGGTTAAAAAAATCATTATATGGCCTGAAACAATCACCGAGAGCCTGGTTTAGTAGGTTCCATGTAGCTGTTCAGCAAAGAGGATACAAGCAGTGTCAATCTGATCACACACTGTTTGTGAAAAGAGGGAAGGAAGGATTGCATCACTGATAGTATATGTTGATGATATAGTTATCACTGGTGATTGGAATGATGAAATTCAAAAGTTGAAAAGTTTCCTTGCTACCCAGTTTGAAGTGAAGGATCTAGGTCCTCTAAGGTACTTCCTTGGGATTGAAGTGGCCTTCTCACAAAAGGGTATCTTCTTTTCCAAAGAAAGTATGTCCTAGATCCACTCCACGATACATGAAAATTGGGAGTGAAGCCTGTTGATTCCCCTATTGATCCTAACCACAAATTAGGAGATTGTCAAGGTGAACCCATTGAGGATGTGAAACAGTTTCAGAGACTTGTAGGAAGATTGCTATATCTTTCTATGACTCGACTAGACATTGCTTGTGCAGTGGGTGTTCTTAGCCAGTTCATGCATGCCCCTAAGACTACCCACCTTGAAGCAGGAGAAAGAGTTCTTTGATATCTTAAGAAGTTCGTAGGTGCAGGCTTGTTGTTTCAAAAGCACAGGCATTTGAAAGTTGAAGTGTATACCGATGCAGATTGGGCAGGATCCTTGAATGACCGGAAGTCAACAAGTGGCTATTGTACCTTTATAGGAGGGAACCTAGTTACCTGGAGAACGGGCAATGTCTCATGGAGTGGCCGAAATTATGTGGCTAAAGAATTTGTTGAGTGAGTTGGGCTTTCTAGTTGATGGACCTATGACTCTTTACTGTGATAACAAAGCAGCCATAAACATCGCTGCTAATCCTGTGTTGCATGATAGAACTAAGCATATCGAAGTTGACAAGCATTTCATCAGAGAAAATGTTGTTATGGGGGAAGTGTGTACTCCCTATGTCAGTTCTGAAGACCAACTTGCAGACATCTTCACAAAAGGGTTTACATCACTTGCGACATTATGATTTATGTGACAAGTTGGGCATGATTGATATCTATGTCCCAACTTGAGGGGGGGAGTGTTGAAATGTCATTATTCTGTATGTTTAGTACCACAGTGGTACTTTGGTACTTTCTGCCTTTTTTTATTTTTAAGTTGTGTCGCCCTAGTATAAATGATAAAAATCTAGCACCGCCAGCACCTTTTTTGAGACTCCAAATCTCTGTTTCTCTTCTCTCTTCTCTCTTCCTTTCTTCCTTCTTCTCTGGGTAACAGGTAGTTCTCTAAACTTGGGATTTCATGGCCTGTCAAGAGTGGGGGAGGTGTTTAGGGATGGTAGTGGCAGAACCAAGGCACTGTATATTCTTGGGACCAATTGGAGTTGGAAAATCCTTAAGAGCAGAACTTCTGACACTGTTGCAAGAGCTGACCTAACACAGTCAATAAATATGTTAAAATTAATGATAGAAGGGGATTACAAAGTGATCAGCTGGATAAACAATAACAGCCAGGCAATTTGAACATATAGACATGTTAGCAAGGAGGTAAGATGCTTGTTGAGGGGAATGAAGGTATAATTTCAGTGGGTCAAAAGGTCAGCAAATGGAATGACTGATACATTGGCAAAGTTAGTGGTAAATAGGTGGCAACTTTTCTGGGCTGAAATGTAATGTTTATACTAAGTAAAGGAATAGGTGGAGTATGTCCAGCCTATAAAGTGGGCACATGTTTGATTCTTTACAAAATGCAATTAAGTTTCTAATAAAAAGAAAAGAAGAAAAACTTAAAACTTCAAGGCTAATTCGTAAGAAACTCTAATAACTCATTAGAAATCCTAGTTAAGATTACCTAAATATAAAGAAACCAGAAATCACTAAAAATAGTAAATCATGATGGAATTTCAGTTTGTGGGTTGGGTTGGGGGAATTAGGCTCTTTTACTGCTAGAGCAAGAAACAAAATCAAATAATTGTTTTTAACCAGCATACCTTTTGGGTATGTGGGTCCTAAACCACTGTTCGGGTTTTTATCATTTGGGAAAAGATTGGAGGTGGAGAGGTTAATTTCTGATATTGAGTTCACTGATAGGGGAGATAGGGGGAAAATCCCAAAATAAGTGTGATTGGTAAGAAGAGGGTTGTAACTGCTTTGGTAGTAGCTATGAAAATCATTTTTATTGGAATGTGAGGGAGATAGGGAGTGCTAGGAAGAGGAGGGTAATAAAAGATCTACTTAAAGAGAAACCTGACATTGTGATGTTATAGGAAACTAAATTGTTGGATTTGAACAAAAGTTGGTTTAAAAGCTTTTGGAGGTCTTGGGGTGTAAGCAGGTCTTCAACACTCTTGTGGGGAGCCTTGGGCGGAATTGTCACACTTTGGAAGTAGTGGAACCTTTGGAAGAATTGATAGGCAAATTTTTTGTCTCTATTAAATTGAAGTCTGTGGAGGATGGTTTTGTTTGGGTATTGAGAAAATATGGTATTATAGAAGCATGGAACAATCCAGGCTGACATCTATGTAAGCCAAATTTCACAACTACTAAATTGAACTTTGCCAAACCAAGAACGTGGAAACTGTTTTAGACCATACAATGCCTTCTTAACATCTAACTGATATAAGGGCCAATGATTAGTTGTAGTCAAGGAAATAACCATATGGAAAAATGTGACCTTAGCAACTAGAGAGAAAGTCTCATCAAAATCTACACCATAAGTTCAAGTAAACCCTTTAGCAACCAAACGAGCTTTAAGTCTATCCATTGTACCATTACCATTAGGGTTAAATTTCACAGCATACACTTACCTACATCCCACAGGTTGCTTACCAGAAGGGTGAAGAATTGAATCCCATGTGCCATTTTGATGAAGTGCCAACAATTCTTCTTCCATAGCTGTCCACAACTTAGGATTAGACAAGGCTTCCTATAGGGATTAAGGGATAGAGATCGCAGAAAGGGAAGTAACAAAAGCAAGATCAAAGGTGATAATAACTGATAAGAAACAAAGTGGCTAATAGGGTGCGTAGTACAGGATCACTTACCTTTTTGAAGGGAAATGGACAGATCAAGGTTTGAAGGTGGCTGCACGACTTGAGTAATAGTAGTAGTAGAGGGGTCACAAGACCTATAGATAGCAAGGTGGAAGATGTTGGAGTTGAAGCTAGTTGAATGGAGTGAACTCATGAAAGGTAACATCAACGCTAACAAAGTGATGATGGAGAGGACTGTAACATTTGTACCCTTTTTGAGCTTTTGAATATCCTATGAAGTTACACTTTACTACACAGAGTTCAAGCTTGTTATGTTGATGATCAAAAAGATGGGCAAAGCAAATATATTAAAACATATGAGGTGGTAAAGCAAACAAGAGAGCATCAGGAAAAGTACAAAAAGAGGTATCTTATTATGAAGAACTGATGAAGACATTTAGTTAATGAGATAACAAGCAATTAGAACATCACACGAATAAATTTTTGGTACATGCATTTGAATGAGGAGGGCCCGTGTAACTTCTAGAAGAGGGCAGTTTTTGTGTTTAATCACACCATTCTGTTTTGGTGTATCAATACAAGACGTCTGATGTATGATTCTGTGCTCATTTTAAAATTCAATAAATGGTGAAGACATGTATTCTTTAGCCTTATCAGATTGGAGAACACAAATAGTAGAGTCAAATTTGGTTTTTATTTCCATAAAGAAAGACTTGAATACAGAAAACAATTTGGGCCTCTCATTTAACAAATAATATAACCAATTAACTCTAGAGAAATCATCAACAAAAGTACGACACTACAAGACATGGACCTCAAACATCTGATTGAACTAAATGAAAAGGTTTGGACAAACGACTCATAGCCTAAGGAAGAAAAGTAGCCTGATAATGCTTGCTAAGCTGACATGCATCGTACTCAAATCTAGTGTTGGATGGAAACAAAGGAATCATAGCATGAAGAATCTGAAATGAAGGATGACCTAGTTGACAATGAAGGTGAAAAGGAGACACACCAGAAGAAGAGGACTGTAAGGCAGTAGGTCCTAAGCCACCTTGCAAATAGTAAAGACCAATTTTTGTTAGTGGTGTGGCCACCAAAAGACAAATATATTCTCTTGTATCTGAAACCAATTTCCACGTTGACACACTTGAGGCTGTAGCACCTATGGGTAAGCCCAAGCAGCCAAACCCCAAAGAAAATTTCCCAATTTAACAATAAAATGCAGCAGCACATCTTAAAAAATTTCCTGACTTATATTTCCAGTCCCAATCATTACACTTTTAGAAAGATTGATCTTCAAACCTGAGCTCCAACCCCAAATGTAAATAGTAAGCGCACGTTTGGGAGGGCTTTCATGCTATGGATTTTGGATGTGGGAGGTGGCTCAGCTGGACAGCCTATAAACTATGTTGGTTAAAAAACTGGAAGGCCCAAGTTAGTTGTCTTTTAGCCCAAACCGGAAAAGCCCAATAGCTTTACCATGATGCTTCTTTTAGTGGCTTCTCCAAGGCAGCTCAACAAAAGCAACTCAACCAAAGCTTCAGCCCTCCCAAATGGGTCCTAAAGTTACTGAAGCATCAAAAGCTTATCTTTTTTGGTGGGGTACTAGGAACTTTTCCATTGTACATTCTAATCTTTTCACCTAATTTAATAAAATTGAACGGTTCATGATAAAAAAAACACATGTTGATCTTTAAACCTGACAGCATTTCAAGACCTTTTAAAATAGCTCTATGATGTTGTATCTGATCTACTGAAGCATAAAAAAAGAGCATGATCAACATATTCGGGTGTCTTTACTGCTACGGAATGATTAGTTTATCTCTTGACTTGGTTAGTTGGTTATTTGTAGTACAGTTAATTTATCTGCTGAGCTAGTTTTTATGTTCCCTATACCTGTTTTTACCATGAGTACTAGTTACTTTACATGAAAGAGTTGTAAATTTCAATTTCAAAGAAAAAAAAAGGTGAGAAGCTTCTGAAAATTCTCTCTTTGGTGTTTGAAATTATATCATGTACAGATCAATTGGAAAAAAAGAAAAGAATTATATCATGTAGAGCATTTAAATTGCTGAATTGTCATTTTGTGCATTAATCCTGTTTATTGGTATACACTTAGGAGTTATTTTTGAGAGATTGTATTTGTTAAAATATGGATATGATTGATATTGTTTTCTCCAATGCAACTTAAGGTATGATTTATTAATTGCCCACAAGGAAGAGCTTGCACAACTTATAACACTAGAGCAAGGGAAACCTCTGAAAGAAGCCGTGGGTGAGGTATGCCATTTTTTCATTACGAGAAATGAGATTTCCTGTTTGGACTGCAGATTGTTTGCCATCAAGGAGTGGTCTTTAATGTCTGTTATTATGCATATTTACTTTACAGGTTAGCTATGGAGCCAGCTTTATTGAGTTCTTTGCTGAAGAGGCAAAACGTGTATATGGTGACATCATTCCAGCAACACTATCTGATCGACGGTTATTTGTTATAAAGCAGGCAAGTATATTGAATGCTTTACTTTTCAGATTTGATTTATTATATCTGCTTGTTTCCATAATCCAACTTCTTTAACATTGAGAAATTGAAGTTATTCTGAAGTAAATGTTTTCATCAATAAATATCCATAAAAAATTTTTCATCAATTAGTTAGTTATTTAATTTGGACTAATTCTATGTTCCGTACTTTTCCTGTTATATTATAATAAGTGTGATGAGGGTGTGTCCATGAGAAGATGTACAATTATATGTAAATTGGTTAGCATGTATAGGCTAATCCTCCAGAAAACCAATTAGGCACTCAGCTTTTTCTACACAAAGAAGCCCTTTCCGATATGTGAAAGCCATCTGGGATTGAGCTTACCTCTCATCAAACCCCTTACTTTTGGACTTCAATTGATGCTTGTAATTCCCTTTATTAGCAATGAACTTTACAAGTTCCCATGGTTACTACCCCAAACTTTACTCCATCTAATAGTATTAGTGAAATCCCTTTTGATTGCTAGGATGTAAGTTAAAGTCTCTTGGCAAGGAGTTATAAGGTTACTTCTCCTAACTTCTCTAATTTAACCCTAATTCACTCTTACATATGGGTCTTAGTTCAGCCTTTTGCTATACTGATTTGCTTTACTTTCTTTTCCTGCTTTTTTGATATATACTTTCTCTTGCTACTTCACAATTTCAATCGTTCTAATCAATCCTGGTAGTCTTTTGGCAGATATAAATATTCTTTTCCAATCCTCAGGTTGAATTTATATCAGGGCAGAATTGAAATTGGAGGTGGAATTGAGGGATCAATTCCTCAAGTCTCCAGATTATGCTGTTTGAAACCATTTTGACTGCAGAGAATATTCAGAAAAAATGTGGATTTTGATCCTTCAAATACCCTTCCTTTTCTCTCAGGACTATTATTAACTGCTATGCTAGAGCCTAGTTTTAGTCTCATGTTCTGTTAATTATCTCTAAAGTAATATTTCCATTTCTTTTTGCTCCCATTTATAGATAATCCTCAAAATTCGTGGACAGTTGTCAAATTATGATCTCATTAAGCACATCCAATGTTGAACTGCATACTTGGATTCATCCTGAAGTCTAAATCTGTGAACTTAAAGAACAGTTTCATCATCCCTTGGAGCCTGGAAAAAATATTCCTGATTTTGTTTGTTTTCTGCCATCTACACCCTTCAGTGCCTCCCTTAATTTGATTAGCATATTATGCTCAGGTGAATTTGTTTGCCAGTGACTTGTCTGTCCATATAATTAGATGAAGAGGTGCCTATCCCTCCTTCCCTCCCTCCCAGTGTTTGTTTTCCCTTAGGTCCCCATGGGTTTCAATCCAATTCGGTGATTGGAATTATAGAGTTGTTCATTTTTTGATCTTAATAGTTTGATAATCTTGCTACATATGTTTTTCGTATCAATACTAACAGAATCTTGATTTTGAGCTCCCATGTTGTTTCTTCTATCTCACTGTGGACATATTTTCTCCTTAACTTGGTAATATCATGATGAACCATGTTTCTTATTCTCTAGTTATTTAACCTATGGTCATTGATATACATATCTTGCAGCCTGTGGGTGTTGTTGGAGCAATTACACCCTGGAACTTTCCCCTGGCCATGATCACTAGGAAGGTATGTTAAAGTGTATACCAGTTCATTGTGACATGGTACCTATCTGCATTTAGGATATTTGCAAGCACAGATGCCTTTAAATATTTGCTGATTGTCTCCCATCTGCGTCAGGTTGGACCTGCTCTTGCTTGTGGTTGTACTGTGGTTATTAAACCGTCTGAACTTACACCCCTGACAGCTTTAGCAGCAGCTGAGCTCTCTCTTCAAGCTGGAATACCTCCGGTATTCTCCAACTTATATATGTGTATCTGTCCCTTTAATTTTTTCTTTGGTTTTGTAAGTTGATTATTCATCATCATCTTCTTCTATCTTTAGCCTTTGTAATGCCTTGGAAGGTACTTCTAGACTAGGGATTTATTTCTTGGTTCGGTTTTATCATATCAAGCTTATATCCTTATAAATGGTATGATGGATGCCCTTGGATTTGATATCCTTATATATGGTATGGTGTTGCTTCAGAACAAAGTAAATAATCAAATATCAGCACAATCCTCGCCCATTGCTGTCCCATACAAATTGACCTTTGGGGCACTCCCAAAACCAATCAACAAAAGCCAAATGTCAAAGTCATGTTACCTTCTCCAATTGGCTCCTAATCAAGCAAATGGTTCCAACTCATGTTATCTCCTCACTCATCAAAAAGTCAAATGTCAAAGTCACCCATGGGAATATCAACACCACCTATTTAAAAACTTATTTTCTTGCCTGCCTTTTTTCTAAACTTTGGTGGAACATAAACAGTATATTTATCTATTCAGTCTCATTATATATGAATTCTTTTGGCTCCTATGATTGCTTCTTTCTCATCATTTCTATTCGTCCTCTTCCTCTTTTCTCCTTTTTCTTAACTCTCTTTCACATGGATTTCAACATGGTACTAGAGTAGGGGTTTTGCCAGATGATTGCTGTTGACTGAGTGAACAGAAGAACCTGCTGATGTTAGCAGGTCATACAGTGAAACTGGGCATATGGTTAGCCTGCTATATAATTGAAATTTGTATTGATTTGTTGATTTCCTAAGATATTTTAGAGAAATCATCATCATCTAAACCTTGTCCCAACTATATGGGTTCAGCTACATGCAACCTGTTTCACCATCGTGTTCCATTCGATGCTATATTTTTAAATTATAACCCATCAATTCATTTCGTACCCTTCAATCTATGTCCTTTACTCCTTTTTAGTGTGCCCCTAGCTCTTTGAGCCCCTTCATCTTATGATCATTTCTTCTTTTATAGTTGTTGTAGATGGCCTTCTTTCTTTGTGGCCAAACCATCTTTTTTTTGAAGAATAAAAATAAAAAATTTATTAAAAGAAAAAGCTCGTGTACAAACAACTACCGGCGTGTTAAGATTACACCCATCCATCTACAACACAATCAAACAAAATAAAACACCAAGTTAAGATCACAAAATAGAGGTAAATAGTTGAGAGCCACCCTGAGACCAAACAAATTAAAATTCCTCTTCGAGCATATCTTCTTGTTCATTTCCTCTGACTCCTTCATCCCAAGCCTCCCCTTCTCCCCCAATTACAATCTTCTTCTCACTTTCTACTCTCTTGCTCTTCTTAAAAGCTTTAAAAGCTTTCGTAGTGAACTCCTCTCTTCCCTCAAAAAAACAGCCCTAAACTCTTGCCCACTTCAACATCCCTATCAACCTAAACATCAATCTCCACTTTCCCCCCCTTCTCGCCCGTCCCGACTGATGTAGTTGTAATTTGACCCCTTTTCGCAGACTCAATTACCCCTTTCCTCGTCCCTTTCTTCTGGCCTCAATGCCAAATCTTCTATAGTAGCCGGCGGCCGTTGTATTGGAATCCCTTGAGACTCTTGACACTTGTGCCCCTTAATCTCTGCAGTTTTCAAACTCATATCTTTATCTTTTGAGCTTCTTTTCTTGTAGACTTTCTTGAACTTGTTGGTAGGACCAGCACCGACCAGACCATTTTCAACTGTGAAAAATCTTCTGACACATGGACAAGCTGGTACTTGCCTAGCTCTCTTGCTTTCTTCAACGGCTCTGAAACAGAAGCATCTTTCTCCCTGACCTCAAAGTTCCTCTTCCGACCTAAGTTGATTCCAAGTGTCCCAACTGAGACTTCAAAGTAACACATTTTTCTTTAGACTTTGCTCCCCATTCTCTTCACTTAAGCTATTTATTTCGGGTTGACTACTTGATTCCAGTCTCCTAGCTTTCCCTCCTTCGGAATCTCCCCTCCTCTGCACCTCTTTTGAGATCCTTCCTCCCCTCTTAATCCCTTACCCTCTTCTTTCTCTACCCCAGCCTCCTTTCCTCCCCTGTTTCATTCCACCCTGGCGAAGTCCACTGCAGACGACACCACTCGTTCTTTTTGGGGAGAGTCAGCATTAGGTTCAACCACAAAAGAGCCAAAACGGATAGACCCACCTGTAGACTGGATGACCTTCCCTATTCCTCCAATCTCCCAGTATCTTCCTCCCAAGGAACTAATCTATCTTCAATGCAAGGAATACAATGAAACTCGTTTTCACTGCTCCGACTCTCCTTGTTCCTCAGTCTTACCATTTTTCTTCCAAGTTGTTGTAGCTTGAAATGATCCAAACCCAGTCTTTCATCTTTCTTGATCAAAACCTGTGAAAGTTCCTCTTTCCTTTTCTCCTCTTGAGCTGCAAAGTCTTGGTGCCAAAGCCTTTCCTTACCTTTAAACTGTTGCACCTAAAACTGCTTTGGAACCTTTTAAGTTGTGATCCCCACTTGCAGCACCCGACTTCTCAAACAAGCCCCGTGACCCTACATCTCCCCCCTCACAAACCGCTCTTAAACTCCCACCCTCCAACTAGACCAGCTAATACCTGTTCATAGTCTCCTCACCAACTCCATTCATGTGCATCTCTAATGGTATTCTCCTATTACATAAGACTCAAGATTAGGGGTGATTATACATATATATATATATGTGTTATATGATTTAATATATATTATAAAATGACACATATAATATATTATATAATATTTTATATTAATATAAATTATAGCACATATTGTATGTCATATAATATAAGTATTATATATATTCAATATAAAGTATTTAATGACATAAGCCCAAATTGGGGTGCGGTCTGGTTTTGTTTGGTTTAGAGAGGACCTTAGACCAAATTAGTAAATTATGGTTTGAGAAATTCTCAAGCGAGACCGAACCAGACCAAATAACATGCATACCTACATAAATAACAAATATAATTCAAATATCAAATTGAAATGCTAACAAGTGCCACATATTACTATTATATAAATTACATTCATACTTTCTCAAACATAAACCGATTCTTGGGCATAAAATTACAAGTTAGAGATTGAAAAGCAACAACAAAAATATATGAAATGTTAAATGAATACATACATACATACACACATATGTTTAAACATGTCTTATATACTATATGCATTAATAAGTATATTATTAATAATTTTATTTACAGTTTGGTCTGGTTTCTAAAATTTAGAAAACCAGACCAAACCAGAAAATTATGGTCTGAGGAATTCTCTACCAAACCAAACTGTTTTAAGGCCAAACCAGACTAAACCAGCAATTTTGGTTTGGTTTGGTCTGGTTTGACGGTCTAGACCATATAATAAACACCCCTAGGCCCAAAGCCTAGATTGGGCCTGGGGTCTGAGTTGGCCTAGTCCTGGGCCTAGGCTCAGGCTATAGCCCTGATCAAAGGTGCTAAGCTAGCATAGCTCAGTCTACAATCACCCTTCACCATCCATTTTGCCCACCTAAGTGTACCCTTATTTGCACACCTATAATTATTATATTACATTGCATTTATTCTGTTTTATCTTACATATTTTAAAAATGGCTTGTTTAAGGTATTTATTGATAATCTAATTATGTATTTAATCGTTTGTTAGTTTCATCCAAATAAGTGCTATAGTACTTCCTCCTGAATGTGTTTAGTCATTTTTTTTATAACCTTGAATTTTATTAGATGTTACAAAAGAATGTTATTTACAAAGTACCTAGAGTTGATTAGTTAGGCTAACAGAAATGCTACCTAACCCCTATTCTATTTTGGAATTAGAGAAATAATTACATTGTTGTCCTTCAATACAAGTTACCCCTATTCACCTCTTGCCTTGCAAGTGAATCAGCCATGGTGTTTTCTGCTATATGCATCCATGACCGTTTCACTGTCAATTCTGTAGCCATATGTTTAGCTTGTCTTAAAGTATGCCTATGCTGCCATGTTCCTTTAGATTTGTTTTGTAGCCTTCCTATTACAGTTTTGGATCTTCTTCAATCTCTCTAATATTTAGATTTAGCCTATTGCAACTCTTTAGTCCTTGAAGGACAATCTGCATCTTAGCTCTAGTGGAATCTCCCTTTCTAATTGGACCTGTGCAGAGTGCTAAAAAGGAACCTCAAGTGTCTACAATGACTCCCCCCAACACTCGAGGGTTTTAGATTTCGAAAACTGTACCCATCAAGATTAAGTTTGATTTGGTTTGTTGCTGGCAGCTTCCATTCTCTTAATTGTTTTAGTTTGGAAGATGAGGAGCTTGCCATACTTTGCCATCCTATCAAGATATAATCTTTGGGGAATAGTTCAAAAATCTCCAAGCCCTAGAGTGGAATGAGGCTTCTGTTTCACTGGTTTGAGTTTTGTAGCTTACTTCTAAGACTTGAGACAAGGCCTTTTTTGTTTGATTGTCCTTTTTTCATTAAACTCTGTCTAATTATTTTGATATTGAATAATTCAGGGTGTTGTGAATGTGGTTATGGGGAATGCATCTGATATTGGAGATGTTTTACTTGAAAGCTCTCAGGTTTGTAGTTTTTCATCATTTGGTCTCTCTCCCTCCCTCCCTCTCCCTCTCTCTCTCTCTCTTTCTCTCTCTTTCTCTCTTCAATATCTTGCTGGTTGGTTGTTACATGGTCACTGGTTTTGATATCTCTTCCACCTCAAGATACAACAATCTGTATCTATTATGCATTCTGTCTGACAGGATAGCCTATTTATTCAGAATAGACTGGAAGTTTTAACCATATGGATTTCCCAAAGGGGACTGAAAGTCATGCATTTATTAAAGTTTTGGCTTTTAGTTTGAACAACTCGTTTGTGTCAGTTTCTAGAACTGCCAACTTAGTAGATGGGATTGCTAATATGTTTTGATACCTTGACATATAAAATTGAAATTTGACATGTCATAAGTAAAGTTGTGCCCAACCTGATCATAACCGTTCAACTGGAAAGACATTCACTTCCCAGTTTTCCTGGTTCAAGCAGGCAATCCGATATGGATTCAGAAATATTTGCATAAAATCAGCTTTAACATCATGTGTTTACAAGTTATCCCTTCAACAATGTAAGCTCTATATGGCACAACTTTACATATGATTTCTTTTTTTAACTGCCTGCTTACCTTGTGAACAGGAAAGCTTTCCAATTCATTGAACAGGTTTGCTTTCAAAACATTGATTTTATGATTTTATGTGTGTCAAAAGGAATTACCATGGAAAGGAGGAAATGTAACTTTTATGTTAAATAAAATTTAGCATATTTTCCAGTATAAATTAGTGGATCCATTGTCATTAGTGTTGAATTTAAATTCATGGTTTGAATGTATCTCTGGTTGTCTTTAATGTACTTTTTCATCTGTCTTTAACAAATATTTGATCTTTTGACATAAAGAATCTTTCCTAACATAATATTGGTAATTAACTTTCTTGTGTACTTATCCTTAGGTAAGGAAGATCACCTTTACGGGCTCGACATCTGTTGGAAAGAAATTGATGGCCGGTTCTGCTGGGACTGTAAAGAAGGTATATTTTGGCTACAACGAAACAATATCCTGCTTGATTTAGGAACTATGCACCATTTCATGTGTCGTTCATCTTTGAATACCTATTTGTTAGTAAAAAACCATGTAGGGCTGAAAACAGATCAGATTGAATTTAGAGTGGGGTATATCTGATTCAATTTGATAAGAAATCCGGCAGATTCAAATTTGAAAAGAATCTGTTGGATTTTGCATATTGTGGTTCAAATTCCATCAGTCTATCTGCTAATATTAACAGATATCCGATTTGATAATGAAAAAAAAGAAAGTCCTTGCTTGATAATTTGTCAAAACCTGAATCAAACTTATAGAATTTTCTTAAATATCTTCATCCCAAAACTCTCTGATAAACTAAGAACTTTCTCTAAGTATACAAAATTATCAACGTAAAAGTTTTTTGATTTTTCTTAAATCTCTTAATCCTTTGCAGAAATTTCTTAAAATCTGTCAACCTAAGAAACATCATTCTTCTACATGCCATATGTATAAAAATTTTCACCATATCTATAAATAATTAAGAGCAAAACACAGTCACAACCATTCACCACCGTTAAAACCATTCTCCAAAATCCTTATCCATCCAAGTCATTGTAATAAACTAACAATCATCATGAAAAGATGATTGTGATTATCTTGCAGTGATTTAAAAGATGATTCAGCTAATGGTCCACCATTGCAACGGGCAATAGGTCATACAAGGGGGGAGATTGAAGATACCAAGAAACTAAACAAAAATTAACTAGAAACAATATAAAATGAAAGAATAGACACGAAGGAACTAAACAGTTCAGATCACTCATAAAGAACTTCAAACTAATCATTATGAACATCTTTATCATCAATAGAGTCTTCTTCTTCTTGTTCTGATACTATCTTGCAATGATTTACCTAGGCGCACAAGCGAGGCACAGGCGCACCACTTTCAATAGGTGCATGCCTGGTGTGCCTTTCACCTCAGCTCATGTGTGCGCCTTTTTTTATTTTTTTTCTTGGGTTTTTGGTGTTTTTTGAGCATGGTGGCTGGGCTAGGGCCTCTACCCTTGGATCTCCAACCAAGCCCCTTGAGGCAAGCCCAAAAAAGTCCATGTTAGAGACTTAGGGCCTGTTCGTTTCCTCTTAACTCTTATCTCTTAAGAAGAATCTTTTAACTTTAAGAAAAAATGGTTGTTCGTTTCCTCTTATCTCTTACAGTGCAATCATACAACTTTTTGTTTTCAAATGATACTCCCAAAAAGACAAACAAAAACTCTAATATATGGGGTCAAAATGGTTATTTGATAATTTTCAGAATTCAGAATTCAGAATTCCGAACAACATTCTCTGCATTCAGAGTTCAGAGGAAAGAAAAGTTCACCAATACCAATATATCTCTTAATGTAATTATTGCACTTTCAGATGTTAGACTTCAGAGCAAACGAATAGGCCCTTGGAGTCTTTAAATTCTTAATCCTTAAATAAATGATTTTATAATTTTAATTATCTTTTATTAGGATGAAAGAATGAACAACATTAGCAAGTAGGGGGTTCTACTTTGCTATGATTTTATTCATTCATCCTAATAAAATATATTTTTAAAAGATAATTAAAATTTAAAATCATTTTTTAGGGATTAATAATTTTAAGACCCTAACATGGACTTGTTTGGGCTTGCCTCAAGGGGCTTGGTACAAAGGCAGAAATGCTTGGATAATGAAATTAAAAGTTGAAAAAGAAGTAACATCACATTAACTATATTTGAAATAATACCATTGAAAAAGAAGTAATGAAACTATAAGTTTGACATTCTTGGATATGTTTTATATGCTATTTTTTGTTTTGTTTTTGCATTTTTCACTTTGAATGTATTTTATATGTTATGTTTATGTATTTAAATTTGAGCTAATAGGATTTAAAAAAAAACATTTGGTTTAAAACTAAAGTTTGATTTTTTTAATTAATAATATTTTTAATATTTTTTATTTATTTTGATTTTTTTACATTTTTTTTTTAAATTTGTTCCATGTTCAAAAAGGTGCACACCTTGCCTTGCGCCTTGTGCCTCAGACACGAAAAAAAAAAACTTTGGTTTGAAAGATAGAAGAGAGGGCTTGAAGTTGGTGATACAACAGTAGAAGATAGGGGTATAAGACAAGGAGACCCCCTGTCTCCTTTCTTGTTCATTCTAATTGCGGAGGTTCTGGGGAAACTGATTCACAGAGCAGATGCTAGGGGGCTCATTAGAGGCTGGAGAGTTGGGAGGGTGGGAACTCCCCTCACTCACTTACAGTTTGCTGATGACATGATTCTATTTAGTGATACAACTGTTTGAGCAAATGTCTAACTTGAAGGTTAACCTTGGGAAAAGTTGTATAGTGGGGGTGAACTTGGAGGAGGGAGAGCTCAGGGAGAGTGCTGAAATGTTGGGGTGTGAAGTTTCGGGGTGGCCTTTGAACTACTTAGGGTTGCCATTAGGTGATAATCCCATGCGAGAGAGCTTTTGGAACTTGGTGGTGGAAAGGTTTGAAAAAAGACTGGTATCCTCGAAAAAGAACTACCTCTCTCTCGGTGGGAGAATTACACTAATTAAGGCCACGCTTGCTAACTTACCCATCTTTTTCCTATCGGTGATTAAAATCCCAGTGAAGGTTGCTAATAGATTAGAGAAGTTTATGAGAGATTTCCTATGGGAGCCAGGAGAGGAGAAGAGGGATCACAGAGTTAGCTGGGAGATAGTGTGTAGGAGTAAGTCTTGTGGTGG